TTGTATAGACATACAAAAAGATACTATTATATGTAGATAAATAGGTAACAAGTATTGTACATGTATATAGAGTATAGAGTTACTGTACTGCACAGGTTATTTTCTGCACATTCTGCGTGTTAGTATATGCAAACATAAGTTTGAAATGTATCAACTTTTCCATATATATATATATATAAATATACATGTATATATGCGTGTGTGTGTTCTAGATTTGAACACATACACACACATATCATTAGATGAATATATTAAGATTCAATTTGCATGTGTACATACATTATACATGCCCAGTACTCTCGGTGAGGCAGCACTTTTTCGGTGAACCCCAAGGACCTGTAATGTTTTTCCAACGAGCCGTTGGGCCGTACCAAGGACCACCACTGCCCCTTCGTGAACAATTGCGTCTCCGGGCTGCTGGCGTTATAGCCCATAATTTTGGAGCACCTTCCAAATTGCTCAGTTTTCAAACCTGCGGATCAGATAAGTCATCCATTCATCCTTTGATATCCTTTGGCTTCCTGACAGCGAAAGTGTTTAGAAGCTGATTATCCAAGTGGGAGTATCCTAAAAGCCGGGGTCCCAACATCACCGGTTTTTCCCCCACTGGTGTTTCCACCATTCAAAAATAACAATTACATACACTTACCTTTTGTTGGATGTTTTGTTGCATCCTGCCGGAGACGAGGTTGGACAGCGAAACTATCTCTTCTTTTTTGGTTTCACCAGCCGCTTGGCAGCAGACCGATTGCGCAGCTGCGTGTCGTGGCTGTATGCTTTCATGGATCGAAAAATTATGCTCCTTTCCATCCTTAGTAGCCTTTTTGATTCACTGCAAGTTGAATATACACAGATGCCAATGGTTGGTGGATCTTGGTGGTTCGGTCTGGCCTTTGAAACTACGCCTTATACATGGCCATCCTGGGATGCCAAGCATGTCAACCACCACTGAATTGCTTTGTTTGCACAATGTGGTATATCATCAAATTAGAGCAGTAGCAATTTTCAGAGGGAAAATCAAGTTTTAAAGCCTCTGCTGTATGTGTAAGACTTTTTGATCAACCCCCTACGTGTTAAACTCAAAAATACTATGTCTCCTCCTCCCCCAGTCACAATGCATAATAATCCGGCATTCGAAACCATTTTTTAAAGATTAATTATTAGTTGTCCATGCTTGGACCAACGTGACCATGCCAAATGGCCAAAGCACTGGTTGAAGATGGACAATCGTTTTCGTATGCTTTCCCGCAAATGTGGGACCAAAACATGTTGTTCCCTCTTTTGGATCTTTTGAAACCCTATAAATTGCTGTTATGTTTCTCATTTGTTTCTCCACAGAAACACAGAGAAATCCAGCCCAACAGGCTCCGTTTGCTTGCTGGCCGTGGTGGTGATCCCATCCTTGCTGTGGTACCTGCTGGTGGGCACGGGCCTGGGCCAGGAGCCCCAGCAATCTTTCTCGCATGCTGATTATTAAATCCCCACCCCCTTAACCTAGCTTTTTGGGGGGGACCCTACTATATGTAACTTACATTTTTCGGGGTGTTTTTAGGGGGGGTTAATTGTAACTTAAAATCTCTAAGGTACCAGAAATTCAGGTTTTGGAAGGGTGAAAAATGTAAGTTCTGACCCCCCTAGGTATGGTCCTGGGCAAAGCAATTTCAAGGTATTCCCCAGGAATGCACCACACACGTAGTGATCTATGGAAATGGGGGGGGGGGAAAATGTAACTTACATTTTGTCCCCCTCCCTTTTGATGTTCTTTGGTATCTGAATGTTGCAGAATGGTTGCAGACATATGCAGACATATGATTGGTTGTAATGTTTTATAGATTTTATAGCTTTTTCAGAGATGTTCTTGGATGTTCTGTGGTATTTTTTTGATGTTTTTCTGTTTATATATCTATGCATTTTTTTTTGTAATCCTGGCACCAACCTTGTTATAACTGTTATGTGTACCTCTTCCTTTTATCCCATGAGGGCCCAATGTTTTGTGACGTCCCAAGAAGTAACTTACATTTTTTGAAAAATGGAGGCTTCCAGAGAAATAACACCTTCAAAAATGTAAGTTACATTTAGGAAGGTTTTACCTGAAAAAATGTAATATTACATTTTTCAGGTTCCTCCAAATTTCAGAGGGACCTACCCTAAATGTAAATTACATTTTTGAAGGTGCTGATTGTATGTTGTTCCCCACCTGCCAGGTGAGGGTTGTTAGATTTTATGTCAGTTGCTTCCTCCTCGTCCTCCTCGTCCTCGTCCTCGTCCTCCTCCTTCTCCTCCCTCTTCTCGTCCTCCTTCTCCTCCTCCTCCTCTCCTCTCTTCTCCTCTCCTCTCCTCGTCTCCTCTCCTCGTCTCCTCTCCTCCTGCTCCCTGCCGGACCTCAACCACGACCATCCACGCCCAGTGTTCCCTGCCGGACCTCAACCACGACCATCCAGTGTTCCCTGCCGGACCTCAACCACGACCATCCACGCCCAGTGTTCCCTGCCGGACCTCAACCACGACCATCCACGCCCAGTGTTCCCTGCCGGACCTCAACCACGACCATCCACGCCCAGTGTTCCCTGCCGGACCTCAACCGCGAGTATCCATGCCAAGTGTTCCCTGCCGGACCTCAACCACGACCATCCACGCCCAGTGTTCCCTGCCGGACCTCAACCGCGAGTATCCACGCCAAAAGATATGCCACATAGAGTGCCAGAAGATATGCCAGATAGAATGTTAGAAGATATGCCAGATAGAATGCCAGAAGGTATGCCAGATAGAATGCCAGATAGAATGTCAGCTAGAATGCCAGAAGATATGCCAGATAAAGTGCCAGAATGTTTGCCAGATAGAATGCCAGCAGATTTGCCAGATAATATGCCAGAAGATATGCTAGATAGAATGCCAGATGGAATGCCAGAAGATTTGCCAGATAATATGCCAGAAGATATGCCAGATAGAATGCCAGATGGAATGCCAGAAGATATGCCAGAACATATGCCAGAACATATGCCAGAAGATATGCCAGAACATGCCAGAAGATATGCCAGATCGAATGCCAGAAAATATGTCAGATAGAATGCCAGAAGATTTGCCAGTAACAAAATGTATAAATGTCATGGTGGGGATCACACGAAGTAAAGTTTTTTTTTTACAAAATGTAAGTTACATTTTCGAAGGTTTTACCTACCCTAAATGTAAGTTACATTTTGGGGAGGTCCCCCCCTGCTAAAAGGGTAGTATCATTATTAACAGTGATCATATCTATGGCAATGATACACAATGAGAGGGATATATGTATATATATAAAATATAGTTATATATATATATATGTATATGTATGTGTGTGGTATTTATATATATATGTACACATATGCATGTAAACCTATGTGCATGTAAGCCTATGTGTGCACGTGTATGTACACGCTAACAAGAACCGCTTTTGTACGGTACAATGTCTCCAAGATGTGTTTTATGGTCATATGTATGTGTCAGTTTAATTTTCACTATTTTTTGAGATTGCCTGGAATACTCTAGCATTTTGGTCGCAAATGTCAAGCCTGACGTGGCACTGCCACTGCCCAAAGGTCCAGCACAAAACCAGCGATCCAGTGGCTACGAGGTGCACCTTTCAATGGGTTTCTATCAGAGGGGCCCGTCCTTATGTGTGTTTGGAAAATATGGGAATCCCACAAGAGATGACCTATAGTTTATAGGGAATGGAATTTCTATAGTTGGTGGGATTTAACTGATTTAACGGTTTTCTGGAGAGCTTGTGGGATTTACAATAACATCCTTGTCAGACCTGGGATTTGGTTTTGAACGTGACTTAGCATTAATTGGCAGGAAACCAAAAAAAAAACGCATGACATGGGGACGGATGATCGGTACCCCCAAATCATCCATTCTAGTTCATTCTAGTAGGATTTTCCATGAAAAATAACACCTCCAGCTATTGGGGTACCCGCATGTTAGGAAACCTCCAGCTATGGATGAACATGCACCAGCTATTTCGAGGTTCGCCTGGAAACATCTATGTTTATTGATTTCTTAATTCGTGGTCTCAAATGCTCAATGTTTTTTGATCTAGTTCCTTGCCCACAGCACCCCATATGAGATGATTCTCCCACGTTACCTTTGTTTTTGTTGGGATCGATTGCTGCCACCCATCAGCCTACACATCGAGTCTGCGGGCTGGCAGGTCAATACTGATTCGGTGATGCGAGGATTTCTGATCACGTTGGCTGCGGCTGCAGGTGCGTCATGTTGTGCTGTGCGTTCAACGTTATCTATGTGCAAGGGTTGGAGCATGTGCGTTGGGATTCTGTTTCGTCGATGTTGCAGGGAAGGTTCAACCATGATTCTAAACTGAGTGATGTTGAGACTCACTGGTGATAGGAGTGAAACATAATGGGCATGAATACTTATATGTGGTAAACCCAGTAATAAACCACCCCAAAATCACAATTTGTGCGTGTGGTAGTGTATAAGCGACCCCCATGTGATAGGTTTACGGCATTGTGTTTCCCACATTCATCATTATGTTGATCGTTAACTATAGGTATATATATATATTATTATTATTATTATATATATATGTATATATCTATATATATATATACACCAGTTGTCAAACATGTATATGCATTTTTAAATATTGAACATAACAGTTCTATAATCATTTAGATGGTGATTGCAGTGATGAAATGGGGACATGTCGCAATTTCTCCAAAACGGGATCTTTTCGGCCGGTTTTGGTCCGTGGGATAAAAGCCACTGGACTTGCATTCTCGAGACCAAACTTCTGCCTTTTCCACATATACTAACTCCAATAAAGATGATTATCACTGTAATTAATGATGATTGGTGAGTATTATTCTGCCAAATAATTTCAGTAATATACTAACTCCAATTCTGCATTTCCCCAAAAAATGATTATCACTGTAATCACCATGTACCACTAAGTACGATTTGACTCTATGATGGATGAGGAAACAGGTTGCTTTTCCAACATGTTCAACCTGGTGAGGAACTGGAGCTTTGTGCGTGATTGGCTTATGGGGCTACCACCTCTTCCTGATCTGCTCTGGTCTCACCACACGAGCGCCTCGGTAGCTGAGGTCCTCGCAACAAAAAGATAGGCAAGTGTTAAAGAACAAGGGATGTATCATTATGTTAGTTACTAGGATTTTACTTTTCCATGATTTCCATGTTTTTGAGTTACTATGGGTTAACACACACACATGTATATATATATAACATTATATAACCCCAGTTATAACTGGATCAAGCAAACCCACCCTACTGATGTTTGGGGTGAACTAACCTACTTCCGATTGCTGGGTAGTTCACCACCAAATGCCACCAAGTAGTTTCTCCCCGTCATCTCATTTCCCATATATTCTCAGAATTCTGAAGGGGCGTCAGCTTGAGGGGCTTGCCCTTGCGAAGTAGAACTAATGGTTTGGGCCCCATTACCGGGGATCAATTCATTGGGAATCCCGGAACTAATTTGTTGCATTATAGTGCAGCAAGGAGTATGAAGTATGGCATGACGCTATCTGGCAATGTACTTCTTGTATTGAGTTTGTATTTATCAATGACCTGTAACAAACACATCAAACAGTATGAAGATGTATGAAGCATAGCGTCTTCCTCGAACCCACCGGTCTGGTACAAGTCTATTATAGCCCGGCCCAAGGAGCACATCAAAGGGTCTCTTGGATGCACCCTGCTGACATTTGAAAGGCACTTCGCTCAAAGACTGGATTTGTAAGGTGAATTGTAAAATTTGAAATGTTATTTTTTTGTTACTTCCGTCTTGGAATTTCAAGGGTTATGTCGTGTCCATATTTATATCCAGCAATTATACGATTATGTTCTCAAATGTATGGGTTGAAGTATGCAGCATGACATATGCAGTTTTTTACATGTACATATAATATAGATATCCGTAATGAATGCTACCCCTATACCAACGTTTCAGCTGTTTAGCCCTTGCTCAGGATGCGCACGAAGGCGCGCCGCGCTGTCTATAGATACCGGGAGACCGTGCATTTTCCTCACTGAAATCAAGGCAAAGATAGGGAGTCAAGTATATTCAAGCAGCCCAAATCAGGGGATGCCATCAATTCTTCTTCAAAATAGCTCTCAAGAGTTGAGGCAATTATGTTGGGATTTAATCAGGAATGGCGGATCTAAGAGCTAGAAACGAATATATATATATATATATACAGTATCACATGCATAAGTTTTTCAAACTGGACCGCCCTGAAGATGGCACTTGCTGCAATGCAGAATCTCAGGCAGTTGTATAGATATGTGACTGTGGAATAATATGGATGTTGCCTAATAACTAATCACACCATTTATGGTGCACACTATTCAAAAATCATAGCACCGTAGTGTATGATGTAAAACAGCAAATGACCATGCAACTATAGAAAAAAAACATGACATCAGCTAGCATTTTTTTGTTTTGACATAGGTGGCCTATCACAGCCTACAACAAGATCCACCTATGTCATGGTGTACTGATGGCCATGTATAGTGTTGAGATCGGTGCCCCTAATCATAAAAGTTGGTGAAACCAACGTCCTTATTGAATCCATCATAACCTTCTGATAAATCAATATAAATATCCCAAGCATATAAAATCCATATGAATCCATACAGATCCATATAAATCCACGTAAATCCCTATGTTTTCTGAGATAGCCCTATGTTTATTTGCCTTTCCCCTGCCACCAGGAGCTCCTACCGGGTTTGTCGGAGGACTCTACCACCTGCAGCCGACGGGGTCCATCCCTGGTGTCCACCCGGGCTGTGGTGGGAGCCATCCCCGGAGCCTTGGGCAGGCGGCCCTGTTTTCATTTGGATTTAACATATTTAACTATTTGAAATGAGGATGTCATCGGAATTCCATGTTTTTCCGGATATTCAAGCATGAGATTGATTGGGGAATGATATGCTTGTCTTTCAGATGCATTGCTGGATGGATTGTATAGCCATAGACTCAGATTCTTACCCGTTTTGGGAGATGGGGCCATTGATCCCACTAGACATTGCACCAGGAATGGCGTAGCCGATTCTCATTTTTGTTACACTAGGTTTTACCCATCGCATTTGTCGAATTATAGACTATAGTTATATGATAACCATAAATAATCCCTATACTCAATCTAGTGAAGTGAACCAGCTTAGCTAACGGAGTGGGGATGACTGGGGTACCACCTTGTATTGGAATATCATATAGTGGGAATATTACCAATCATTTGGGGGATATCGGATATCATGGGGATATGATATAATGTTATATAACTAGCAACATGAAACTACATGAACTTGGTGAGTCCGAAAATTCGGTATGTCTCCCCTCTCCGTTTGTCTCATTTTGTTTGTAGGGAGCATCACGATCAACCGGTGAATTTAAGGCGCCCGTTTGAGTCAAACCCCTACAGTCACTGCTGAGCATGATAGTTCCAATTGAAGGTATAGATGTGCCAAAATTATAAGATTCGGTATTGTTTAAGCTTCAGGTTGTCAGATGAATGGCAATCTCGGATAAATCAACCGGTTGTAACCAAGGATGTTGACAAGGTATTCGGGCAGAGCATTCTTGGCAATATATCTTGGCCCAAGAGTAAAGAGGAGTTTGGGATTTATTGCTGGGATTGGACTTGTGCATTTATCCTAAATCGGGTTTGATATGGAAGACATTCTACAGCCTGAATCTTTCCTAAGTTGGAAGATCATGGTCGTGGAAAGTTGGACCTGACCAGGCGTTGGCGTCTCCCGGACCCGGGCCGTGTGACACTGCAAGTGTGACGGCAGAAAAAGGGGCAGGACGGAAGACTTGGATTATGAATGGATTATGGATTCCCCAAAAAAATCATCATCAGAGAGCTAGGTTTTCCACACGTAATGACAAATATGGGAAGGTCTGCTGACCAATAGACTTGCTCCTGGTGAATCCTCTTGGCATAGAATTTAGCTTGTGTTTTTGGCAGATTTGTTTTTTGTCGCTGGTCGTTTTTCGTTGTGACTGATGGTTCAGACAGTGTGGAGCATCACTGGGTTTAACAAATTGATTTCCATTTTTATTTCAGTATTAAGACATTAAGATCGCGAAACAAAAGGTGGTACAGTATCTGTTTTTTTTTTTTGCGAAAACATATGACTTTGAATTGCGCCATCTATAGGTTAATTCCATCTCCAGATTTTGCCACACTACTGTTTTGGATTCCCAAGGTTTAGTATATCCAGTGGTTAAGGGGGAACCAAGGAGCTATGGGCATCCATATTCTTCAATTGTGCCCGGTGCTCCGGAACTTGACCCGTAGGATTTCATAGGACCATATAGGACCATGCCAAGCATTTCAAGCCCAAAAATGTCGCTGGAAGCTCCTTTTTCGAGTCCCTGCAAAGGGCAGCAGAGGCTGGCCAAATTTTCCATCAAGACATATCAAGACATCCTGGAAAGCACCAGAAGCCAATTGACACATTGACTTGAGGTGACAGCAAACACATCAGTCACCATCCAAGATGAATTGAACATAAATTGTATTGAGAACCGGGGTGTCCAGATCTCAAAGCGTCTCACTTCTATAGCAGCTGCCCTTGCTGACAGATCATTGCTTGGTTCTCGTTTGGAAAAGATGTCGGAACAACCCTATCATTCATGATATATTGCAGCGGTCTATCCATCTATCTATCTATCTATCCATCTATCTATCTATCTACCTATCTATCTCTCTCTCTATCTCTGTATCTCTCTATCTATCTATCTATCTATCCATCCATCTATCTCTCTATCTATCTATCTATCCATCCATCTATCTATCTATCTATCTATCTATATCTATTTATATCTATCTATTTATTTCTATTTATATCTATTTATATCTATGTATTTCTATTTATATCTATTTATATCTATTTATATCTATTTATATCTATTTTTATCTATTTATTTCTATTTATTTCTATTTATATCTATTTATATCTATTTATATCTATTTGTATCTATTTAAATCTATTTATATCTATGTCTATCTATATTTCTCTATATCTGTCTATATCTGTCTATATCTATCTGATTCTATCTGATTCTATCTGATTCTATCTATCTATCTATCTATCTAACCTAATCTTATCTTATCTTATCTTATCTTATCTTATCTATCGATCTATCTACCTACCTATCTATCTATCTACCTATCTATCTTTCTATCTACCTATTTATCTATCTACCTATCTAAACTATCTATATATCTATCTATCTATCTATTTATCTATCTATCTATCCATCTATCTATCTCTCTCTCTCTCTCTATCTATCTATCTATCTATCTCTCTCTCTCTCTATCTATCTACCTACCTATCTATCTATCTATGTCTATCTATCTATCTATATCTTTCTATTTCTATCTACATCTATCTATATCTATCTGTATCTATCTATATCTATCTATCTACCTATCTATCTATCTATCTATCGATTGATCGATTGATCTATTTATCCGTATATTTTTTGATTTGTTTATCAATCTTTCCATCTCTATCTCATCTCATTTGTCTATCCTACGTTTGTTGCTTCCCTTTATTTCTTACTTGTTTTCTTTCTTACGTTCATTCTTTCTTTCTTTATTTGCATCGTTTTTTCTTTCTTTCGTTCTGTCTTTCTGTTCTTCATAGTTTTCTTCTTTCTGTCTTTCTTTTTTTCTTACTTTATGTTGTTCTTTCTTTCTCCTTTTCTGTCTTGATTTGTTGTTTTGTCTGTATTTTTTATGTAGTTCTTTGGTTGTTTCCTTTCTTCCTTTCTTTCTTTCGTTTTCTTTCTTTCTTTCCTATTGTATATGTATATATATATATATATATCCAGATTTATATCCATTCATCCATCTATCTATTTACTTTTTTTTTTATCTGTCTATCTGTCTATCTATCTTTTTATCTATTAATATGTTTAATATATGATCTATAGTCCTATTTATATATATATATATATATATGTCCGTTCCATCTTTTTTGTTTCAATCGATTTTGTCTTGTTTTATCTAATATATATCTATTCTATCTATTGTATCGGGGATACCATTTCGTCTACAAAAGCCAAGAACATGTGACCCCTACAAAAGGTTTTGTAAGGCTCTATTCTGTAGGAATTACCTTGCTGTGTACTGGGTTTCTGTAGTACAGAGAGAGTTTTGTAGGCATTCCTGCCTGGTCCACAAGAACTGTTCAAATTGTATAAATCCTTAAATGGACCTACTGGGAAAACCAAGAGTCTTTTGTAATGGATAAATTGTGGCCAAATGCAATTTGTAGGTAAGCTGGGCCCCAAAAAACTGTAGCTGCAAACTGTTTTGTAGTACTACTAGGCCTAGCGTCAATCCCCGGGGGAGGGAGGAGATTAGAGATCGCTTGCTTCACAAATCTACGGAAATTATTTTCAGTCAACATCATGCCAACACATTTCCCAAGAATTACCACGCATTTTCATACATTTGTATGTATTTTTGTCAGGGGTAGACAAAAGCAAGGACTTGTAGGATCGTCTTTGTTCGTGTTTGTGCATAGCCCAGCTATGCAGAAAAGTGATGAGAAGCAATCCATCGCGAAGACAGTGAAAAAGAATCTTGGGAAATCTTGGTGCAATGATGTGCAATGGGAGTGTTCAACAACCTCAACCTGGACAACGAACTCACTTAATTTCATGTTGATTTTTTAAAATAAGGTACGACCCAAGAAGTAGCTTAAATTGGTCAGAATAATTAAGGAAAAAATCAACCCCGGATTCACTACAAAAATAACCGGTGCCCTTGGACCATCCAGAAAAAGAACCTTAAATTTCACGACAGAAGTTATCAACCAACATTTGAACAAGGCCCTACAAAGGTATTATGAGAATTTAAGGCTATTTCAAAAATAGAAATAAAAACAAAACCTAGGCTGTAAAACCCTCAGGCTTTTGTAGGAGCATTTTTTCTAACTGGGACATTCTTTTGTAGTTTTTTTTCCTGACTGACTCTACTTTTGTAGTTTTGTGTTCTAAAGTCAGAATCGTATCTACAAAACCTGGGGCACAGGTTACCCTGGGTAATGGCAACCCCGATTCTATTGTAACCATCATATTTATGCATAGTTATCATGTATCATGTATCGTTTCTTTATCTTTTTTATTTTATTTGTCGTACCTATATAGTACCTATATCATGTCGTGTCTGTCTGATTTATATTTATAGTTGATCTATCTTATCCATCTTACCTATATGATCTTGTTTATCGATCTTATCTATATTATCCTATCCATCCTATCCATCCTATCCATCCTATCCGCCCCATCCATCCCATCCATCCCATCCATCCCATCCATCCTATCCATCCTATCCATCAATTACATTCAATTACATCCTATCCATCCTATCCATCGTATCTATCCTATCCATCCTATCTATCCTAGTTATCCTGTCCATGCTGTCTATCCTATCTACCCCATTCATCGTTTCTGTCCTATCTTATCCTATCTTATCCTATCCTACCGTTCCTATCTATCTGGGAACTTCTGAAGTGTTGGGCCCGCTGGGCACATCATTCAGCAAAAGCGGCTGTAGGTCTAGGGCGGTGGGCGACTGGGCTGAGAATACGCGTCCTTTCGAAGGCTTCAGCTCGGAAAAAATATACGTGGCTGAATTATAGCAATTCACCACCACCCTAAAAATAGCCGAAAGAAGGCCAAAGGGGAATGCTTCCCCTTGCTAGTCAATAGGGACGTCACAGTGAGGTAATAATAATTGATCCAGATGTATTATGTATATACAACGTGACTAAAGACGTATCTCAAGCAGCTTTCCTACGGTCAGCTATTATGGGTTTAAGCATCCGGCCCACAAGGTCCGTGCTGATAAGTTTAATCTCTTTCCTGAGCTTCAAATGCTTGCGAGTCAGTTAGCAAGATCTTTGGAATGGTTTGAAAGCATTGATTGACTAGCTTGAGATCGGCGAAAATCACCAGCTATCCACTATCCAGCCTTGCTTGTTTATAACGACCAATCCACTATGGTTTTCTGAATTGATGTTATGTGCAGTTTGTATTGACCTAGCATGTTTGGATCGCAATTCCACCATTTGTGGATGACGTTGTTGTATACGTTATAGTATACATATATAAGTATATATATATATGTATATATACAGGCATAATTAATGTGTGTATATATATATGTGTGTGGTATATATATATATATACATATGTATATGCACATATCATATATATATATGCGCATATATATGTATATACATGTATATGCATGATAACTATGTATACAGTGTCATTTTTTGGATTAAATCTCCAGGCTGGAAACTGTTTCGGCACCACTCGGCCATTCCCCAGCCGCACATCAAACGAGCAAAGTGAATTCGGCTGACGGCGCAGCGCGCTTGCGGCACAGTAGCACCAACGGGTGCGGCTGCCCTCCAGGTGAGACTCTTGAGGTGGGGCCCCATAGCTCAGCAGGTTTAGTTCACTACTACCTTAACTAGTTTTTTTCTTTAAAATACTGATGTAACCATAGTTAGCATAACCATAACCTCACTACCATAACCTGATATAACCATAGTACCATAGTTAATCGGGCGTAAATCTACTTATAAACTGAAGGACATTTTTTGGTAATTTAACGTAGCTGTGGAAAATCGCAATGCTTAAGGACAATAGTCTATAAATTGAGGCCATTTTCCACAGCTATGTTAGTTTATTAGTTGTAAACCACCAGATGTTTGGTTAGAACCTGGTGGTGTAGTTAACCCGGTTGTTTCGCAGCCGTTGGTAGTCTCAACTAGTTTGATGTTCCATCCTTATTGGGTTGGCTTTGAATCTGTCGAACTTGGAGAAATTATTGCATCCGGTTTCCAACAGTTTAAATCAGATGTGTATTCCCGTAATTGTACACAGATGAGTTGACATACATATATAATATAACATACAGAATTACATAGATGTGTGTGTGTGTGCGTGTTGTGTTTGAGGGTCAAAAGTGGTCAGTCAGTGATGCGCATCGTTATCAGCATTATACAGTAACAGTCATTATTGTGAAAGTGTGCACGTGCATGTGGAGTATCGAAAGATATTGAAAGTGTTTGCATGTGCTTTCGTGCATGTCTATGTTTGATGGAGAAGGTCCAATAACATCCATACTAATGCTTTAGACACTCATAGGCTCTTTCAAGACATGGTATTCGCGTACCACTTCGAGCCTGGTCAGGGCGGCTCCTTTTGTTGTCTACAAATGAGACATGCGAGATTCGCAGAAAAGAACGCTTTGTTTCCTCTTTTGGTTTGATGGAACAAGAGCAAGGTTGGTAGTGTTCCTGCACTTGAAGCCACGTCCACTGCAGAGTAGGCTAATGTTATACTTCCAAAATGCAACTTGAATTGCAGACATGAACAAAAACATGGATCTGTTTGTGTTCCCAGAATTTCCCAAGGAGGAAAGTGGACAAGCACGTGTGTGTTCTTCATAGAGGAGGCGGTCAATGTTTTATAGACGTAGTAGAGAATGATCAGCTCTTCAAGTGAAAATCATCCAAAGGAAACCTTCTTGATGGCAGATCAAGTAACACAACGATAACTAGACAGTTTCTGACATCTATACTATCTATGCAAAATGATTAATGCATATCACGGGGAATCATCAGCTCCCAGTTCCCTTCCCACGGTAGCCGCCATGGTCCAAGATTGGAGCGGTGCGGCATAGCCCTCATTTCCGTTTTTTTTTTTTGCCGCGGGCGCGTGGGGGACCGACTTTTCGCGCCACTTGGAACTGAAGGGTTCGCAGATATGTTGGCCAAGGGATACAGGGGATGGATAAGACGCTTTTTTCAGATGAGCCTGGGAGCTTCCAGCTCACCTTGACATGGCAACTATATGCAACTATTGTATCACTCAATATCATGAATCACTTAAAAGAGTGATTCTGAAATTCAGCCCAAATACATGTTTAATATTGTTTAATCCCATCCCCCAAATGTTACATATCCAACAAACGATCCCCTGGTTTATTTTTGGATCTAGTCTAGGTATTGAATACTGAGGGGATGGGATTGATTTCCTGATGGGAACCCTTGCACAACTATTTCCAAGGCAAGGGTGCCCTCAGCTGGAGTGAGCAGTGCTAAACCCCTGTTCTTTGGTGATCCCTTCACCCATCCTTCACCCTCATATTAAACAAAACAGAGACCATGGTTTAGCAGGAGGATTCACACATATTTGGGACATGCTGGGACCATTTGCAAGGTTATTTACTTTTGGGGGATGGGATTGTAGGGATCTATGCTACTGAATACAGATGAATACAGTAGGTTGCAAGTTATGTATGGGAATCACTATATATATATATTATATACATATATATATATATATATTAAATATTATATATATATATATTATATTATATTATATATATATTATATATTATATATATATTAGCCAACATTAGCCAACAATAAGAGAGCAAAACCTTCAACTTGCCTTCGACTTGAAAATCATTGGCCCAGGCCCATCGACTTACCGCCGAAGTCTCATATGCACCATATATGATGTGTTCTCCAACTACCCTAAACTCCCAAACAGTGATTCAAGTGATTCAAATCAGAATCAAAACCTACTATGGCCTTTGTTTGGGGGAGATGAACATCCAGACCTCCCAGCTGTTGGTTTTGACCCACGAAATGATGCCGGACCGTCGGCCCAGGTGATGCCGGAGCAAAACCTGTTGATCGAGTCCGTTCAGGTGGCGAATGGAACAATTGAAGGGAAGGAAAAGCCATGGAATGTGGTGAATCAAACCATACTGCATGATGTAATATAATATGTAGAATGCACACAAATATGATTTGTATATATATATATATACACTAGAATATGTATATATTTTCGTGGGTTTGGGTAAGCACTTTCATGGTGGACCTATATTCCTGCAGAAGTAACAAAAATACCGTTGTTTCCTCTATATGTTCCCTTCGACCCAACTGTTGAAAAAAGATAATAGGTCTCAAAACTGACAGACAGTGACAGTGAGAGACATGGTTGCTTGGCATGTTGAAGCTTTCATCTCCAAGAACTCCCCTCCACTTTTTTCTGAGTTGGCGTTGTGTAATCGTTTTGGCTGGCGGTTCCTCCCCTGGAATGTTGCAGGCAGTGCATCAGCATACTGACTCGCTGCTGAACCTTCTGATGAAGGTATGTAACAAGATGAGTCCCGGGACCAAGGGGATGTCACCTTTGGGCCCTGCCACGCCGGTAAACCCCCCGCAAAAAAGGGGGGGCTTATATCATATGAACTGTTATTAACCACCAATCACTACGAAGAGCTTATTACTGTAGCGAGCTATCATGCGGGGGGTTGCACATGCCCATGACACCAACTGTTGATCAAGTCTGTCGTTTGACTGGATCAGTCTCTATGACTGAACTTTTCAAATCTGATGGGAAATGCCATGAAATGCCTGCAAGTATAGCCATTGCCTCCATCTGTGTCCTTGACAGGGAGTACTTTGAAAGTCTTCAGGACAAAGATATAGGTAGTCTCTGTACATCCAGGGCTTAGACTTATCACTTGGACCGCTAGTGTCATCTGATACGAATGTTGGGTCGTGTTTGCACCTGTTTGTTTTGATCAACGTTGCCTCCAACCTACACCACCGCTGCCACCAAGGACATGGCTCAAAGATTGCTAGCAGATCTATATACACTACGCATGTGGTTTTGCTTAAGTATCACGCACATACATAAGTATGTATAAATATGTGCTAATATTTGAATCAATGTGAATTGTAAATGTTTTTTTTTCCCTCGCGCACACTGCATATAATTCGGCACGTGCATCATTATCATCATTATCATCATCATCACCACCATCATCATCATCATCGTCATCCAATATCATACAATATGATACAATATCACTGGAATGTCAGACTTTATCTTGGAACCCGCCACACTGCAACAAGTCAGCTAAATCATGTCATTTATAGGCGCAGTGCTGCCCAGAACATCCATAAACAGGGAGACCAATTAAGCCGCAAACCCAAGTTGACAGTTTTCCCGTGTGGCAATGGGTTACTATATGTTAGTAGTAGTATGGCAAATTGCAAGGTATATCCTACCAGATCCTACCAGATCCCTCTTTGCCGCTCTCCATGGCTCACAAGTCGGGCTGATTTGGATGGCTATCGCGCGAGACGCCGAAACAAACAGTGTGACTGAGCAAGTCATGGTGGGCAAAATATGGCAAAACCACCTGGCAATGGAAAATCCCCAATTTTAAGAACAACATGAATGGGACAACTACGGATAGTGCATGTTTAATTC